GTCCTTGTCATTTGTTACTGCTTATTGTTTCAGTTAGCAGATCTCTCCTGATGGAGAAAGCAGCAGTTGTGATAAAAGAGATTATATAAAAGAGTTCATGCTGAGAGTCCATGGCACTGCATAGAGTGATACAGGACACTGTATTCCCTAGGGCAGGTACAATAATTAGCTACAGGACTGGCACTCAGTCTGAAGGATTAATTAGAACTTGAGGTGGTGTTGTGGGGAGGGAAGGCAGCCATACAGTGTGTCAGGATCACTCTGGCCTGAAGCCTGTGTGATTTGATGTGAAAGAGCAGCAGCTGGCTGTAACCTTAGGAAGTGCAAGTGAACAGCAGGTGGTAATTCCTGTCTCATTTACCATGTCTTCATAGGAACATGTAAGCTTGTGCAGCACGAGTTTATTGGCAGGTCAGAAGGAAAATCCTATGGAAGATTGTCACATTTACCACAATAAGCAAATTCAATAGTTGAAATATGGTATATGCAGCACGATACAGAGCTAGCATTACTGAATGTACAAAGTTACTGTACTTATAGTACAGTAGTAAAATAAAAATGCACTTTTTCAAATATCTTAATGTAATATTGACCTTATGTAGGCAGCTACACTGAACAGAGTGTATTCTGAGACTTCTGGGACTGCTGTTAGGAATTCCTCCACTAAAGATGTTAGACTACAGTATGATGGATGTAACAGGAAAGTTACTGCATTTCAAACAGAAGGAAAGCATCAGACAGTTCTAACATTCTTCAGTTTCCTCAGTAGTTGTCCTGTGGGAACATATGGACTTTATACATGTTTCTGGGTTGCTGAACAGGGGGCATTCTACATGCTATAAGCATGTTCCAAATCTCACTGTTTGCTAAATTATTTGGGGAGAGGGTGCGACAGTATGCTTAGTTGGAAATTGAAACTTAACTGAGGGGTGAGAATGAGTTGTGTTCAGTAGTGCAATGTTGTGGTCTGGTGTAGCTGTTGATTAAATGATACTTTACCTATTGGAAGGGCAGCTCAGAGCCTACGAACACAATGGCTAAGTACAGACGGTCAAAAAGTCCGAGGCTGAATTGATTCAATATTTGCAGGTTAGTCTAAACTGCGTAGATTGAACTGATAGGTAAGGGAGCAGACATTCACTTTTGATTCCAGAAATGCAGCCACGTGCCTGAAGTGGGGGTGGGGCACGCACTAGAGCACACCTCTCTGCTGAGCTGGAGCAGACAGCTTGGGCCAAAGCTAGCCCACCCAACCTGTGAGAGGGGTTTACAAGGGAGGTGCAAAGAATCCTGGGATGCTGGGGGACTGTGCAATACATTGAATCTGGAGAGGATCTCGGACAGAAGTTCAATAAACAATTTAACCTAAATCAGTTAAGTATGATACTGCATGCATCCACGTTTGTCTTAAACTGGTTTTGGCCATTTTGAAAGCAATTTATATGCACTGAACTTCTGTTGTGTTACATATGTGAACCGATTTCCAATCATACCAGTTTCTGTGTAATTTCTGTCCCTAGCCAATATGCATTCTTTATTGGTTGTACAAAATGAATGAAGCGATCCACTACCAAGCAATTTTGAATCCATCACTGAGAACTGTTAGAAAAAACCCCCCAAATCAAACCCACCTGGGAGATATTTGAGCACTGAGAGAAGAAGGACGATAGCTCACTTTGTGGGAAGGAGAGATGTCTTATGTCCATTCAGATACTTGTGCACCAGCAGCCTGTTTTCTAGACAGCAGGAAATGCCTGCTCTCTGGTGGGCAGAGCATTGTTCCCTTTGCAGGGTTCTCCTTATGTCCTTGGAAGACAGCTCCACAGCATGCTACATATGTGGGGGTAAACCTGCCTCCTTTAGAACTCTTTGTACTCTATAGGAGGGAAGGAGAAACCTTCCTCTGCCTTTTTTTATTTCCCCACAGCTGTGTAAAAGCAAGCTGGAATCTGTTGCTAAACTAATATTGAAAGGGTTAATCTCTAACCCAGGTGTATCTGTTGTACAGGCAAAGAGCTGAAGCCTGAATGACAGCTTTCTGCCTTATCGATACAGGGTCTTCACAAAGTCCTTGTGCACTTTTAAACTTTAATAACTTAGGTTGTGCACAACGACTTTATGAAGACCCTGTATAGTCTCTGAAGCTTGGGGTTGGCAGTGGGTAAATGTGAATGTTTTGGGGAAGCATGGGATTTTGAATAACATTTTTCACAAGGTGTAGCCTTTCATGGCTTCTGAAAAGTAAAAACTCCTTTTTCCTATTTCAGGTCTGTTTCATATTTAGGATAGAAAAGATGGAATAAGCAGGATAAAGTAAATTAATTCATAACTTGTCATCAATATGAAAAAAATGCCAAATGTTCAGCCTCTTGTATTCAGAGCTAGTTATAAAAATGCTGGCCTTGCTATGTTGTGATCTGAAAGCCAGCAGAATAAAAATGAAGTCGTTAAGAGAGTTTCAAGTTAATCCTATTTTTATCAAAGGAGATACCAGGTTTATCACTACTATTCAGGTGTTACGAATGTTTGTTTGTTTTTAGGCTCCTTATTTGTATCTGTTTTGTCACATGCATATTAGCAAGGAAGGGAATAGACCATGTGCAGTGCAGGACTAATGAATCACAGATGTAAAGATGCTGGTATTTACCATCTAATAACTTTTTAACCTCATGTGGTGAAATAAGACAAATGCAAATTCAGTGCATATGTTCTCCAAATTATGCATCATTCATGTATTTGTTAGCAATATGTTTGTAAATGTTTGGTGTTTTTAGTTTGTAAAAAAAAAGAGAAAGATACAATTAATGAAAAAATATATAATTATTCTCTCAGTTTAGTCAGAAAAATGTTGCAAGGCCAATAACATTTGCTTTCTTACTGTATACTGTGAGGGCCTGAGCCTCTTCTGTTTTCACTGGTGTCATAACTCCATGGAAGTCAATACAGTAATGACAGTGTGAAACTAGGTTGGGAGGAGGGTAAGGTCTCTAGTTAAGATGCAATTCAAATGCACCTATGTAGAAATAGGTGTCTAACAATTGATATACCTTTATTTGTAAATAAAAGCCATAAATCACTGTGATCAAAAGCGGGAGAAATAGAACTACCGTTTTTAATGGGAAAAGAGCCTGCTGAGGCTTAAAGCATCTGTCAGGCTAAAGTGTCCTCAGATGCTTTAAATAGTTTAAAGACTATTTAAGACTAGAAGGTGTTTTTCCTTTTAAAAAAATCTGTAGAAGAAAGAGGCCCTTTCTCCCCCTTTGCCAAAAGGTCTAACTTCGACCCTCCAATGCAATACTGGAAAGGTGTAAATTGAGAGCAAAATTCACCTGTCACATCTCTCACGGCAGGTTATGATTCCAATATTCTCCTCTCCCTGCATCAGTACTATGGGAGCAACACATGTAAGGAGAGTTTAATATATGAGTCAAAATCCACCATAAGAATCTGAGAGGAGAATTTTGCCCCAAATACAGAGATAGTGCTGTATGTATGTTAAGAATGTTGATCTCAACAATTCTGGAGGCCTCCAGATCAAGCAGTAGACCTCTGTTCAATGTGTATTACTGTGTATGTACTACCAGTTCATGTGCTGGATGTCATATGTTAAGCAGAATATTGGTGGGGAAAGTAATAGCAATAATAGAAAGTAATTGTAGGCTCTGCAGTGATCCACGGACAGAGCGCTGTACACAGCTTTCTAGAAGTATCTTGGCATGTTTTATCTGAAAAGGCTTACTTCTGAAGTCAATTTATAGCATAGCAGCTGTCAAATGCTCATAATTACCCATAATAGCATTTAATATCCCATGTTCCTTTCTCTGTAAAACCCCTTTATAATTTTGCAATTTGCAAAATAATCAACTAAATCTCTGGTATTCTGCCCACCTTGTTCTGTTCCCCATATGACAGACAAAGCTGTTGGTCTGGTAATAGACAGAGAGACATACTAAACACAGTGTTTGTTCTGTTTGTCCATTAGCAGATTGTCTATGTGACGTTCTGTGTTGTGTCGTTTTGGTACCATGTTATGCTGTGTCCCTAGGGTCTGCCAGGCTTCCCCACAGTCGCTGCTCTGCACAGTAATCAGATCCTCACCGTCAAGGTTTGTGGCTGACGTACTTGCTCAGTCAGATCTCTCTGCATCAGCATCGGGGTGCACATGAAGGTTAATTTTGCCATGGAATACCAAGCAGTCCCTGCAGTGGGTCCAGTTCTGTTCTCTCTGATTTTACACACGTGCAACTCCACTGATTTCAGTCAAATTACTCATGATATGCTGTGAGTGAAATTAGGATATAGCCCTCTGCATATTATCCACATCACACCTGCTTTTGATGGACATTTTGATGAACCTTTATTATGTTTATGGTTAAATAAGCCATAAAAGAGCATGGAAAATCTCAAAATTTTACATATCAGGCACCTAATGAGCATATGCAGATTCAATTATCTGTTTATGTATCATGCTTCAGGGGTTTCACTTGAAAGAACACTTTGACAAAACTGTAAATTAAGCATGAAGGATATAAGCAATCTAAGTATGGACTTCAGTCATCATTAAAATGGCATTATTCCTCATGGCACAAATATGCTGTTTGGAAAATCTGACTGAAAGATGAACTGGTGCTTTGTCTGTAGAATCTTTGCTGAAAGATCAGCACATAAGAAATGTACTCATTTTAGTTCCCTGGGTTTATATAAAGAAAAAGCACAGAGACTACTACAAGAATTGATGTGAAGAAAACCTGCTATATATTGCCTACAATTAGCACATGACTAATAAAGATATTTATATAAAGGTATCTAGTGATTCTAGATGTTAACTTCTTTAAAAGAAAAGGCACAGATTTTTCTTAGACATAAGCACCAGTTTATTTGATATTAGCTGCTATAAATCTAATGTATATATCTTTATTTCTTTCTTGGGGCCTTCTGATGTCTATTCTTCAATTCTCTCATCTCTGAACTTCAACCTTTGACCTCACCTGCCTGATCAGATGGTGTTTCCTAAAATCAATCATGGGTTTCTCTCTGCTGATCAGCAGCTCATTAAACGCCGCCTCATTAAGGTAGTGCTTAATCTTGCTGGAGTCTGGTTCTTCTTTACATTTAATTTTTTTACTCTGTACTGTACTTTTTGTCAGATGCCTTCTTATTGCAGGTTAATCACTGGAAAATATCTCAGATTCACAGATTTTTTTAGTGAAATATATTTGTGTGTAGCCCAGGTGGAAATTATATGGTGCTTTGCTAAAAAGTTCAAATTTAAAATTCAGCTAGTGAGGCTTGTTTTTAGTGTTTTGCGGTAGTCTTATGGTGGAAACAGTAATACATATTACTGTTTTTGGATGGAAGATAATGTCCTTCCACAGTCTTCTTTGTAAATTAGATTATTACAAAATGAACTTGTCTAAACCATTAAGATACCCACTTAATTATCACTTTAAAACATCTGCCAAAAACAGATGAACTAGATGAACAACTTTTCAGCAAGGCAATTATGTTGCATCCTCATTTTAGAACTCTGTTAGTGCTTCATTGTTGATCCTTACAAAACTGCCATGCCATTTTAACAGCTCTCTCGCACACGCTTACTTCTTCAACCTTTGTCATGATGGTAACAAAGGCAAAGGGAATGCTTTAACTGCTCATTCAAAACGATGACATGCTTTGGACAATGGTCACATGCTTTGGGTGAGTAGAGTTTTGTATGGCACTACATCAGTGTATGTCCTTCATTGGACAAGTAGTTCAGAACTTGAGCCTCACACTGCGTGGTTTGTTCCACGGCAGATGTGCGGCACCCTAGTCTTCAGAGGCAAAGTTCAGTCTGTGTTATAAGCCATGAAGAAACTGTTATCCGCGCTCAAAATGAGCATCCAGCACAGCAACAGCTGTTTCAGCCCATCATGAACTACTTCTGGGTAAATCAGGGTCTTGGTGTTGGAGATGGTACACTTGAAGACAAACTTCTAATGATGATTTTGTTGACTTCTGTTCAGGGGGACCAAGGACAGGCTGGACCCCCTGGTCCTCCAGGGCCACCAGGACCCCGAGGTCCTCCAGGAGATACTGGGAAAGATGGCCCCCGAGGGATGCCTGGAGTACCGGTGAGTTAGCTTCAAGTCTGTCTTTGGTGTCTGAGTACCGCTCAAGTGCTCTTGTGAAGTGGGAAATATTAATGGAGAACCAAAAATTATGTGACATTTACAATAAAAAGTAAGTAGCGGGGCCAGGAACAGTAGTACTCAGGTCAGCTGGCTCCCAGTCCTGATAATCATTTCCTTCAGATTCAGAGATTTCGAGATTGTTTTCTCTTATTTTAATCATTGCAATGCAGGGCAGCCCTTTTGTAAGCATGACAAAAACATTTCCATTCAGCTCTTCATTTAAAACTAAGTTTGAAACTAGATCATTACATGTACTAGTTTGACTTTTAATCCCCTAATGAAGATTAATATTCAGAACTCATGAAATTGGAGAAAATGGATTAGTAAGCTCTGTGTGAAGTATGATGCTATGCTTCAGTTAGTCTTTCCTTAAAGTCATATTCTGTCATCCTTGCTCAGCCTGGAGTAGTACCATATTCTTCAGATAGTCCATATGTTTCAGTGGGGCTAGTAATAGAATAAAGTAATAGAATAAAATAGATCCATCATTGGTTCAGGAGGCAGATCTGGGCCCTTAGCTCTTTGACGCATTGTTGGAAGTCTGAGCGTTAAAACTTTTTTTTTTCACAACCAAAACATAAATGCAAAAGTTGTAGGACTGTATATTTAACAACCCTTGGAAATGCCTTGAGATTAAACTTTTGTGAACTACTAAACTCCTTATTGGTTTGAAAAGAGAGAGTCCCCTGCCCTGCTCCTTTTCTTAGTCTTACAGGAAATGGAAACAATATTGCAAAGAAAAATTCACGCTTCCACATGTGGGGCCAAAACAGGAAAACATACCTTCCCTACAGGGCCCTTTTTGGTAAAACCAAAAAGGAAATACATCCAAGCTCCTGTTCTAATCCCATTTTGAGTGCCTTATCTAAACATATATTAGCTGAACAAATATGTAGAACATAACATAATGATGACATTTCAACTCTGTTTAAACTGTCTGGGAAAACACAACAAGACTTGACATACAAACGCCTTATGAAAGCTGCCTTGAAAAACCTTTGATTAGAATATGGTTGTTATTCTACTGCCATCCCTTTTTGAAACTTCAGATTGGCTACCTACTTCGCCTTGCCAGTGCTGCACAACTCCTGCGCTGCTAAAAAAAATATTTGGACACTATTTGAATATCCTTTGAAATTTCAAACTGGTACAACTTCACTGCCTTCAGAGGTACTAAGATACTGTATTACAGTAGCGAGAGGTAATTAGACTTGCTAACCTGAAGCTAGGCAGAAGGCAGGGCATGGTGACACCTTGGAGTGCCTGTACATGAGCATGGAGGCTGCTCTCACACACTGTAATTACAGACCATCAGAGCAGACTATATTAGTCAAGTTTGCTGGAGTGTGGTAATTACTGTGCTCCAGCCATCCTCTGCATCTCATGCATCAACATCCCCATACTTCAGAATAGCGGCAGGGGAGTTTGAACTAAAATTTGTCGAACGAGCTTTAGATGAAGTGCTCCTGCTGCTATTCTGAAGCATGGGGAAGTTGATACACAAGACACTGCAGTGCTTTAATTACAGCAGCTCTCAGAGCCACTCTAATTAAAGCACCTCTTAACCCCCCATTCACGCCCTGCAGCCTACTTAGTAAGTTACTCTGCCCTACCTTCTGCGTTACAGTAGTGTAGGTCAGACAAGGATTATAACTGCTTCCTGTCTGCAGCAGTTTCAAGAAGTTCCAACTTGGTGGCTATCTGCATTTTTAAATAGCTAAATACCTTTGTAAACCTGGTCCCAAGTGCCTTCTGTCAGATGTTAAGCATCCCTACTTCCCTACAAAGTAAGTGCAGATGGGGCTGATACTCCCGGATAATGACCTACAATGGGTCTCCCAAGTAATGCAGCTGCAGAAGTTACAGCAGTTTAGAATTTTATAATGCTCCCTCACTAATTACTGCATAATGCTGCCGTAGATGTTTTGCATCTGTCTGGGGCTGCTCTTCTCCTAGAGCAGACATAACCTCTGCCTTCAGGCTTCTGGGAGTGACATTTCCAGATTCCTGGCATCCTGACACCACAGCGTTTACTTCTGTAGATGATTGACTGATATTTAGCTTGACAGAAAAAAAATGATAAAGTGGGTACAAGGCCCAAAGACAATAGGATCTACCTGGCTCTCTTCCTCTTTCATATGGCATTACAGATCAACTTCCAAATCTATGAGCCACTGTCTGGTATTGTGGCTCAATATGCAGATTCTGTCTGCCCTGTCTGGGCATTGGTAGAGATATTGCAACTTTAGATTAAGTGTTGTGCTGTTTGTTGAGTACTGTGTTCATACAGGGGGCAGTCCAAGGTGTTCAGCTTCTGAGGTGCTGTTTTGGAGCATCTCTATCCAGATCTCAGTCTGTTTAGCTTGACCCATTCTTCTCTGTCAAGGTCATGCCCAATGGGGGCCTTGTTTGGTGTTGCTATAAAATGCTGTAGGAATAGATTTGACCCTTCCCAGCAATTGGCCCACTCTGTTGCCATCCATAGATTTGGTTCAGCATCCCTAGGCTCTTTCAGGAGTTTGTGGGCTTCATGTACAAACAGTTTATGACTTTTGAGCCTCTTAAGCCTCCATCTGTTCAGCTCTGCAGTTAATAATTGATGGAGCAGGTGATTGTTGTCATCTCTTGCCTCTGTTGCCAGTAATGATGTTAGGATTTGTCTTCTCGTATCACTTGGTCTAATGCCTAACCATACAGGGAGGACATCTGTGTGTGTATAAGTTGTGCAACCTGTTACGAGTCTCAGTGCACTGTTAAGTACAGTGTCAGGCTTTTTAGTGTGACAACTTGTGGACCATACAGGAACACAGTATTCTCATGGGGCATATATCATTGCAAGTGCGGTGGTTCTGGGCACTTTGAAGTTGGCACCCTGTGTTGTGCTGTCTAAACATCTTAAGGCAGCTACCCATGCAGAAACTTTACTGCTGACCTTCTGGATGTGATGTTTATGGGTGATGGAACAATATAATGACTCCCAAGGGTCAGTGCTACCACCAGTACTTTTCAATGTATATATCTCAGACTACCCACATACAACATCTAAGCAATATGTGTACACTGATGATGTCACTATAGTCGCCAAAGGAACAGACGACAGAACTGGAAAAGACACTGAGTGCTGACGTGGAACTCATCACTGACTATCTCCGCAAGTGATGCTTTAAGTTGAACATCAACAAATCAATATCATCACACTTCCACCTGGACAAATGTTGAGTCAGGAGCATGTTGAATATCAGTGTAGGCATCTATGCTTTTCCTCATAAACATACCCCAAGCTACCTTTGAGTTGCATTAGTTTTACCAGGCTGACAGCTTCATTTTGATTTAAAATACAAGTGGACCTGGGGTCACATTGGTCATACAAAGTCAGCAAAACGGTGACAAGGGAGTGTAAGAACAAGGACACTCCATAATTCCATGGCTGAGGGGCAAAGACCCTGTCAGCCACTGCCGCCTCTACCAAACTCCATTCAAGAATAATCATCAGTGGGACCCAGCACTCTACCTCCTCTGTGACTCTATTTAAAAGAAAACAACCAATGGATGGGCCTTTCTCTGGTTCCTCTAGTTTCTGTTTCCCTGCCTGAAGAGGCAACACCAAAGCGTCATACCAGCACCAACACTAGTGCTTTCCCAGTGATCATGTCCAAGAGTACAGCATGTGCATCTAGAAGCACAGCATGCTTTTAAATTTTGGACATCTAGCAGAATGTGAAGTTATGTCTACCCTGAAGTCTGAAAGCACCATAGCACATGTTTCAATGCGTCTTTGTAGAGTCAGTCAAGTGCTTACTTGGAACTGAAACCAATGCTCTGATGGCTTCACTATGTTCAGTTAGTTAGTGCAGGCATGTTTGTTTGTGTTGCAACTGGCAAGGCACATCCAGATCCTGAGAAAGACTGAGACAGTCCTGATTCTGTTTTGCTTCTTTCTGCGAAAGCTCATCAGCAATACCTTGTATCTTTGTACTGCTGCTGAGCAAATGAAAATGTTCATGTCCTTTAGTGAACCTGTTAATCCTTTTGTGACTTGCTCAGTCTGAGAATGGATTTGGAAATGTATTCTTTCCCTCTAAAAAGTAGTTTCTAAAGCACACAAAGTTGTTTTATGTATCCTTAGACCCCTTTTTTTTTTTTAAATTTCAGAATAATTTGCAGCTGCATGCTATATTCTGTGGTTGTAGACCTGAACTGCCTTTTGCAAATTCAAACATAAACACATTAAATATTAAGAAGTTCAGGGTTGAGATTTTCAAAGCTACAGAGCCCCTATTAATTCCTAAGGCAACTGTGTGGGTAAAATCCCTAACTGGTTTTGAAAATCTCAACCCTGAACTTTTTAATATTTAATATCTTAATGTTTGAATTTGCAAAAGGCAGTTCAGCTCTACTACCATAGAATACAGCATGTAACTGCAAATTATTCTGAAATGTAAAAAAATAAGTCTAAGGATATATATGTAAAACAACTGCATGTGCTCTAGAAACTACTTTTTACAGGGAAGGAGTGCTATCTATCTGTTTATTAGAACAGGAGGGGCATCAACATATTTGGTATTGAAAAATCACTGAATTAAGAAAGTAATTTCATTAAAAGACTGAAAAATAAATATCAATTCTTTGAGACCAGCGTGGGCATGATTTTGGCCTGTTAGATTAACAGCCAGAAATAACAGTAATGTATATTAGATGGTCATAGAGCTGTTATATGTGCTTCAACACATATTTTGATGTAATTTAAGTTGCTTTAATATTAATAAATAGAAATTCAATGTACATAACATTATTGATATTGATCAAATCTATGTTTAAGGGAGAGCCAGGAAAACCAGGCGAGCAAGGATTGCTGGTAAGTACCTGTTTCTTCTGTTTCCTGATTCCTAAACAGTTTAAATAGTTCTGTGGTTTTATTTTATTCCCTCAACCCTTCTTTGTCACAAGCCTACTTGGATCTACACTTGTAAGGAAAGTACAGAATGACAATGAGGGCCAGATGGGTCTCTCAACTTGCAGAAAGAGTTGGAAACCAAGATAGTAAATGGGGAAATAGGTCAGCTGCATAAAGTTCCACTGCCACAGCCCCTATGTATGACTCCTTCCAGAGCATTAAATGGTAGAATATCTAGTCACTCTTGCACAGGGCCAAATCCCCATCTATCTTTGTGGTTACAATCCTGAGCCCTTTTCTGATGGAACCCTACAGAGGAAATATCACAGTTGAAACTTAGAGAATATTATTTTCTCTGTGCAGTTTATTACTCCTATATATGGGAGAATCTGCCTATTCATTCAGTGGTGATATGAGGGCTTTTTTTTTTACAAGCATACTGATTTGAGAATAGATGTTTTCTGCTGCATCAAGAAAACTAACTCTATTCAGTTTGAAATAAAATGAGTTCCATTGCTTTAAAAAAGCCCGCTGAGGGGATCAAATAGTGTCTAGCTAGTGTGCACACAGTAGGTAGTCCATTCACAGCTTCTTACCCTGTGAGGTCTTCCTCTGCAGTGTGGGTCATTCTTTTTTTCATATAAGAACTGAGTAAATCACAACCCATGATACTCTTTAGGTAAAAAAAAACCATTGGTTCAGGTGTAAATTAGTTTGAATTTTTAAAATTAAAACTGAACTTCTGTAATTTTGAGCAGAGGTGCTGATATTTTTACCAAGCCAAACTTCAAATTATTTTGGTAGCAGCAGGTACATATTCTTAGAGGCTGGTGAAACAAAAAAAAAAGAACATTTCTAGACTCTGAAATACCCTGCTGGGATCAGGCATTTAGAATCCTGGGGCTTGTTCATTTGAACATAATGATTTTTTTTTTTTGAAGTGCCAACTGGTATTTTAATCAGTTTTTTTTTTTTTCCCCCTGAGCCCCTTTTCTGTGTTTTGATTGCTTATCAATAATAATGTTTAAAATAGCTTTGGAAATGTTGCAGTGATGTGGTGCAGGAATTGTGTGAGAGGCAACAAGTTTGTGAGTGGTATCTTTTATTGGACCAAACGGTTGTGATAGATTTCAGCAAGCTTTCAAATGCAAAACATTCTTGATGAAGAATGCTTTGCATCCAAACGCTTGTCTATCCAAACCAATAGGTCCAACAAATTATATCATCCACAGAAATCCTTGCCTCTTGCATTGTAGCTTTGAGGGCTTTTTAGGCCTACTGTAGAGCTCTTCTGGTTGTTTATTTTAGTGTACTATGGGTTAAGCTTATTTAGCTCTTGACATAGGGTCACTGCACTGGATAACGGTTGCAGCAGTCCAAGGTACCTACATCTGTTTTGCCACTGATGACCAGAGGTGGAGCCATCCATCCCAAAAATAGAAGTAGTAAAGGAGAAAGGAGAGGAATAGAATCAAAAGCACTGTGAATGCTGTCATCTACAGTATCCCCTCAGCATCATTGGCTAGGAGACCTTTAATAAGGTCTTTGTAAAAAAAATCATACAGCTTCTCTCAATTCAGTAGCATTTGTTTTTTCCGGGGATTAATCCACTTTAGATGCAGCAGTCTTTTTTGACACAAATTACAGTGAGAAACAGTTGTTGGCACACACATATGTGTGAATTGCTATAACCATCTCAGGAGGATGTTAACTCTGAAACCAAAGATGACTATTTAAATGTTAACATTATTAACCTTTTAATTATTTTAATTTAATTTCTTTATTAAAAATCCATACATTAACTGTATGCACCTTGGCAATAAGAGTCACCAGTAGCATAGTTTACTAATATACTGAATACCTTCTGTCAGCCAGCTTCCTCAAAAAAACCCCAAAAAACCCACAAATGAAAATAGTTGCTTACTTAAATATATATAGTACTGATCAATTTAACATTAACAAACACTTTAGGGGATGTTTAAACTGAGGAGCAGGGTGTTTTTTTTAATCAAATTTGGTCATTTGTGATAGCTATATTTAAAATGCCACATAGCACCCACCTAATCTATATTCATTTTAACACAGTTACGTTAACTTAGGATCTAGAAGTTAACATGATTGTAACATGAAAGAGAGGTACTTACCCCTGTTAGTCTGAAGTCAGGCAGAAGGCAGGGTGGAGTTGCACCTTATAAACTAACTGAATCAGAGATGCAGAAGCTCATAGCATATGGTGAAGTGAACTGTTGCTCATTGAGGTTTATGCATCTCTGATTCATAGAATCATAGAAAATTATGGTTGGAAGAGACCTCAGGAGGTCATCTAGTCCAACCACCTGCTCAAAGCAGGACCACCCCAGCTAACTCATCCCAGCCAAGGCTTTGCCTAGCAGGGTGTTAAAAACCTGCAAGAATGGAGGCTGTACAACCTTTCTGGGTAACCTATTTCAGTGTTTTACTACCCTCCTAGTGAGTAAGTTTTTCCTAATATCTAACCTAAACTTCCCTTTCTGAAACTTGAGAATGTTGCTCCTTGTTCTGTCATCTGCCACCACTGAGAACAGTCCAGCTCCATCCCCTTTGGAGCCACGCTTCAAGTAGTTGAAGGCTGCTATTAAATCCCCCCTCTGTCTTCTCTTCTGCAAACTAAATAAGCCCAATGTCATAATAGGGATAAACTCATAATAAAACTAGTATTAAAATCCATAGAATGGCTCAAAAATGCTGAGGACTGAGCTTTTCATTATTTGAATGGGAATTACAACATCTACCTTGTGTGGGAGTTGTGAGGCCTAATTTTGGTCAAGTGCCTTGATGTCCTCAGATGTGCAAAGCATTATTAGAATCGGAAACTAAGTTTCCAACTGTTGGGATTATGAACCAACCACTGCACAGCTTGAAAATATTTAGATTTGCTGTTTTTTCCTCTTACAAACAGTAAGGCATGCAAGTTTTTGAGTGGAATAAAGCTCCTGGGAGAGTGACTGTTGGGAGATAATGAGGTAACAGCATGTCCTCACAGCCAGTGTCTCAGAGCGCACCCCAGGTTCATCGTTATCTCACAACAATTGCACACCATGTTGTGTGTTACTTCTTATATACTTGAGCAGGTTATGCCTTTATGCACAATGCATTCTAAATCATTTTAATGCATATGGATTTGTAGGAAGAAATTTTTTGATTCAGTTAAATAAAGAGGTCCTCTGCTTTAAATGAAATTAAGACAGTTTCCACCAATTGAGTGGAAACTGTCTTAACTTGCCTCCTTTTCCTTAAAATGAAACCAACCTCCTGTCCCCGCCCCCCCTCCCCCCCCCGGTCTGAATTGATTAATACACATACTTCAGATTAAATTAGGACAACAGGGGGCATTAGGACTGGAGGGATGTTTGGCTGTAACAGCATGGGGATGGGATTGTCTGTTAGGTTCTTAAGAGCTGGGGAGCAGGGGGGGCTGGACCTGATGATTTCACGAGGTCCCTTCTACCCCTAAACTTCTGTGAATCTATGAAACTGTGAGACAGGTGGGCTTGTGCTCAGACATGCAGGAGCTTAGTCCATTCCTTGTGCTTTAAAATACAAATGGGAGTGTAGAGGGCATGACTTTCTCTTTTTCCATGGACTCACTAGGAGAGGTGGGGATTGGGAGGTCATGGAGCCCTCTACCACCCTTTCTCAATTTAAAACCCTTGCAACTACCTGGGTGCCAGCTTGCTGAAGTTGCTGCCCTGCCCCCGCTCCTGGGATTAAGGTATAGTTGAACTCTACTTGCAAGATGCATTCGGTCTGACTTATTGTGTGTTCTTCTGTCAAGATAAACTCCCCCCCCCACCCAACTTTTAGACCAGATTGGCAGAAATTCAGCTTCCCTGCAGTATCATGGAGGTCCTGTGCTAATCTGTCCCTGTGTTTCATTCACCTTTGTACTCTGAACAATATATTCAACAAATTTTAGTATGAGAACTTAGAGGATATTTGAGTTTCTCATCCTTTTGCATCAGGAATAAGAATTTCCAGTGCAGACTACCAGTGAGTGCCTCATTTGTGGTTTAGCAACAGGAAACCTCAACTCCTGGCACTGAAATATTAAAGTTCTTAGAGTATTAAAATAAAATAAGATGGAGTCTGGGTGTGGGGTGTTTAATTGTCTTCCTGTCCAGATTCCTTTTAGGAATTGGTGCTTTTCTGTTTATAACTATAATATTTGAACTTACAACAGTAATGCTAAAGTAACACATAACATCAGTGATTGGGCTATGCTTTTTATCTCTGGGGGAAGGAGGAACTTTTAAAAATGTTTTGTCCATGTAGCTTGTATCAGCCACTCCAGAGACAAAAAGCAGGCAGAAATCTGGCTTAATGGTCAAGTAAGCCAGCTTTACAATTGTTTTGCTTCTCCATCCCAGCACAGGACAACCAAAGTGCAGTAGTAAAGAAGACCCTTTGTTTTCAGGATTCAAATGAAATTTTATGGCTATAGTGATCATTCAGAGTAAAAAAAAAAAACCACACCCCTCAAAATAAGGTAAAACATCTGTAGAACTAACAAATGCATGCCTATCTAGTATGAGTTACTAGACTAAAAAACTATAGCTTAATTTTGTTTTTTCCCCCCTTCATTTGTACAGAAGGGCCTGATCCTCGAGTTTTTCATAAGAAACTGTCATCCTTGAAGGACAGTGGAAGATTTCAGTATCAGACTCTATATTCTCAAGTGCCACATTTTGAAACTGAAAGCATAGTATTGTTCATCTGAGGAGAAAAAGAAGACATCCTAATGTAAAGTGAACTCAAAACAGAGACTGGGAAGTTAGTTCTGTTGGCTTGAACTCCAAGTTTTACAAGCCTGGGGGCGAATCCTCAGCTAGTGTAGATTCTCATAGCTCCATCTGCCTCTAAGAGTTTAATAATTTTGTTCTGATCCATGAAGTACATAGTCAAAGCTGCTGCACAGCACTCTG